CTCTTTAGAAGTAATAAGCTTATTTTCTTAGAGTATAGTTAAGAGCTTATTATACTATAATAATAGTAAGTCTTTTAATCTATATAGAGCTCGTTTAAGCTTAACGCACTTCCTAGGTATTTAATATCCTTTAGGTAGCTTGTAGATAACTATAGGGTGTTAATCCCTTAAGGCGTTAAGGAAAGCTCTAACAACGTTATATTAATATATCTTAAGGTTAAACTTAGCTCTAATAGCTATTATAGTCCTAAAGGTTTAAGCTGCTAGGGTAGCTACGTAGGTTAAATGAATTAAGTTAGTAAGCTATAGATCTCCTCTTACTACTATCCTTGCTTTGCACTTAATTAGGTAACTATCCTAATTAAGCTTATATATAAACACCTATTTAAGTAGGAGTAGATACTCTCCTTTAGTTAGCCTATTAATCTCCTTCTAGGTACTAGCTTTTAGTAGAGTATTAATTTCTTTATATGCTACGTCTCTAAATTACTATCCTATTTAGTAGTTATAGAGATCCTTCTATTATTTTAGCTCTTTTTGTAGAGCGTCCTAGTGCGTATTCCTTTTAGGGTTTTTAGGAGATTTGCTCCCTATTACTGCTGCGATTATAGCGTAGATTATAGTATTTAGTTTAGGATATACTAAAAGATTATACAAGGGATTTCTAATTAGATCTATATCTAATAGATCTATTACTATATATATCCCCACACTTATAGAGCCTCCTAGTAGTTTATTAGGGTCCTGTCCCTAAGCATTGAGCTTACTAACACGCGTTAGTAGTAGTCCTTTAACTTGTAGTTTTCTACTTCTCCTAGGAGCTCTAGGTGCCGCTTATAAGGGATCTGCAGGAGATACAGAATCTAGTCCTAAAGTAGGTAGGTAGGAGCTCTACTTACTACCCTTATAAGAGCTAGATAGGGTGCCCTTACCTATCTCCGTGCTCTTATAGAGTAACCTACTAATAGCACTCTCCCCTCTAGGTCTTTCCTAGGAGCTACCTATTATAGCGTTAAAGTAAGTTAGATTACTACTATCTTAGGTAGTAAGACCCTAATCTATAACCTATATAGATCCTTTATTTCCTGTACTAAAGTTTAGTTCTAGTATTAGTTTAGGAGTTTAGAGCCCTATTAGCTTAGGGGACTTTGTATAGATCCTTTGTGCTAAGCTAGCCGTGCTTAGTACCCACGCTAGAGGTGTCTACTTAGGGGGTTGTGAATTACTAGGCTAGCTAGCCTAATTATCTACCTCCTCTAGCTCTACCCTACCCCCTAGCTCCTACGCTAGGTTTAGTCCTCCTTACTTACTAGACTCCTTATATTACTCTACTATAATATAGAGCTAATTAAAGATATTAAGCTCTTTATATGCTTCTCCTATATTATAGATCTTATTTTTGCTAATAATATTAACTATTTTTTAAGCCTCTAACTATTAAAGCTGCTCTAGATCTTTCTCTTTGTAGAAAAGATCCTTATTAAAGGTAATATTCTATGTTATAATAATTTAATTAAGTAAGGGGATCTATATCCTATATATATTAGATGCTCTGTATCCTACTAGATATCTAATATAACCCTAAGGGTTTACCTTAAAAACCCTCTTGTGACGCCTAGCTGCTTAATCTCTATTAAGGGGGTAAGCTTAACAGCTATAGGCGTATATTCCGCTCTAATTAGGGCGGAGATTAGTAGTTACCTCCCTTATCTGCTCTAGTTGCCACCACCTAAAGTATCTAGTAAACTAATAATCTAGCACTTTGTTAGGTAATATTATATTATAAGTATAGGACAGGCTTATATTATAGAGCTAAGTTGCTGCTTTAATAATTTTAGGCTAGAGCTTTGTTAGTAGGTTAGCACTAATCCTTATTTTAATTAATTTTGTTATAATCTCCTGCCCTGCTCTTTCTACTCCTCTATTAGGTTTATAGGTATATACAGGTAAGCTCTTAATTTTAATACTATTATTAGCTACCTAGATCTAAAAGCGAGATTTGCTACGCTAAGGGAGCGTTGCAACGTTATTGTCTTATATAATCTTAACTATGCTAAGCTTATATTAGTTAAGTATTAAGCTCTTAAAATTTTTAAACACCTATATAATCTTATTAAGGTTTTTAGCTTGTAGTAGATAGGTATAAAGCTTTCCTAAGTAGTCGCACTTTAATACTAAGATCTATTGCTTGTAAGCTATACCTATTAGTATATTAAATAGATCCTATAATACCTAGTAGTATAGATGTAGTAATCTTTCCCTTAGTTATCTTAATATAACCTGTTAGGCATGTGTAATAGCGTAGTGCTCGCATTTGCTCCTAGGAGTTCCTTTAATCCTAACGTTTATTACTAACTTAACTAGAGCTTTAAGCGCCTTAGGTCCTAAATAGCCTAATTATTAGTGCTAAAGCTCCTTACTGTTGTGTCTTAGGTAAGTTGTCTAGGATCGCTAGGGTTATTTAGGCACTATGCTTTAGATTATTTAATAAGGGGTAGAGGGTTTATATTCTAGGAAAGTTAAGTTAAACTTGCGCAGTAACTTGGCTAATAAAACGCTCTTTTCTAATAATCTAAACCACAAGGTAGTATCTAGCCTAAGGAACTAAACTCCTGCTTTAAGCAATCAAGCTTCTAATATAATATTTACATAAAAACCTTCTACTAATACTATATTAGTGAGCACTAAATCTTCTGTTTTTAGACCTCTTGGTCTATTAAGAGTATTATAGATTACTCTAGTCCCTCTGCCTAAGATTAGAAAAGCTTAAGTTCCTGCTTTAACTATCTTATATTTAACTAATCTAAACAAGCTTTCTTCTAGGTAGCTTATATTATTAACTAGGTGCACTGCACCCCTATTGTTAAAGATAGTACTCTTTAATAAAGCGTAAGCTTTAAAGTCTATAGTTAAATAGATCCTGTTTGTTTTCTCTGCTATTAACATAGGGTTAATTAGTGCCGCCTGGATACTGCCTAGATAGGTGATCGCGTTTTCTTTTGCCTTACTACTATAATCTTAATTAATAGAATAGGACTTGATTAGAGCTTTTCTTAACTCTTTAAATTTTTAATTCCTATTAATCTTTTTCTTAATCTCTAATTGTTAAGTGGTAGTAAGCTTATTACCTATATTAGTCTAAGCTTTAATAACGTTTTTATATTTAGGAGGTTTCTATAGGTAAGATCTACTATATAGGTATAAAGACTCCTTCTTAGGTTAGTTAGAAGGTAGAGCTCCTATTATTGCAAACACTCTAGGACCCTTAGAGCTTAATCTTATATTGTTCTCTTAGAGAAGTAATAAATAGATCTTAGTAACCTATAGGAGGTTATAAGTTAGCTCTCCTATTACTAACTTTTTAATAATCCTTTAAAATATAGTTTAACCCTAATCTAGTAAGATCCTAGTAGATAGAGCTTTAAGATAATCCTATACTATAAGCTATCCTTTAATATTAGGAACGTTGTATACCTTAGCTCGCGTATACAGGATTGTCCACTCCTTCTACTAGTAATTAGCGTCTTAGCTACTTATCTTTACCTTAGCAAGATAAGCTTTATACTGCGATCTTGCTAGTGTTACAGCGCTTAAATTAGTTAGCGCTAGGTTATTGTAGAGCACTTAGATTAGTGCTTAGAGGGTTACTCTTCCTTAATTAACAAGCTCTATATAGGCTAGGGTAAGGATCCCTTAATCTACTATATTATTAACCTATATAAAGAGGTTCTAGATTGCTAATAACTTTAATACCTAATCTAATAAGCAGGCTTAGTACTAAGCTATTTAGAGCTTGTACTACTCGCTTGTTATATTAGATAGCGCGATATCTATTAGCATATTAGGCTTAATAGGTTTATTCTTAAAGTGGTTTTTAGCATCTAGAGCCTTAGGGTCTACCTCTACCTAGATCCCTTTAGTTAGGGTATAGTATCTAAATTAAATATACCAGGTAGGCTAGTTAGTTAATCTAGTAAGTAGGATATCCCCCTTTAGGATTTAGTTACTTATAGTAGAAGAGTAATAAGTAAGCTTCTGCTTAAGAAATAGTATAAAGAGTAAAGCTTGCTAGCTTAGTGTCTAAGTTAAACAATACGCTTAAATAGATAGGACGATCTTTAATAAGGTAAAGCGCGAACTAGGCTTATAACTATAGAAATTTAGATTACTAAGGTTAGGAATAATTTAGGAGATAGATTATTAGATTATATCTACTACGATTGTACTTATATATATAGAGCTTTAGCTACCCTTACTAGAAGGTAAATAATTAGCAAACCTTCCTTACTAGAGCTCCTGCTTTTTGTTAGGCACTTGGCAGTAAGCTGGCAGTCAATCAGATAGTAGGTTATACAGGGGTATTGACTAGGATTGATCGGGATTGATCGGGATCAAGATGCTCCGTGATCCAGTTAATATCCCTCCTGCAACACTAGGCAATAAATTGCTATATATAGCCTATATCTCTTAATACTCTAATAATAAGGCGTTTATTACAGGTAAGATATTAGTAGGGCTAGTAGCGTTAGGTTAGTGTTAATAGCAGCGTAGCTATAATAAGATAAAAGCAGGTTAAGGTTAAGGTTAAGGCTAAGGTTAAGGTTAAGGCTAAGGTTAAGGTTAAGGCTAAGGTTAAGGTTAAGGCTAAGGTTAAGGTTAAGGCTTAGGAGGTTAAGGCTACTAAGGCCTCTAAGACAGAAGCATCGCAAAGCTTAGGGGGGCATAGTTAATAATACAAATTACTATAGATTTGCATGTAAATATTAGAAATACAGTGCTTTTAATCTCCGCGTGCACGGACGGCTCAGCCTCCTCCACACGGCCCACAATGGAGTACTTTTCCTTAGACATAGTACAATACCGGTACCCATCACCTTCCAAAGTAGCGCGTCGTGGGGTGCTTGTGGATCCCTTGCTTCAAGTTATGCTAATTAAAATCCACATGACACAGTCATATTTCTGTTGCTAATGATCGAGGCAATAATGCCATAAATGATAAAATGGTGTGGGAGATGAAAGCATCGAGAAACTGTACTATACATCGATTCCAGCGCTGGTTCATGTGGGTAAGCATGTAATACAGAAATACCTACCACACCACAGGGTTTCAACTTTCAATTTATGCGCTTCGCCACTTCCCTGAGACCCGCAGTGTACTACTGCTGAAAACAATGAAAACTAGGGTTTGGATCTGTATAAGACTTGATACTTATTGTACTTGGTTTGGCAAAACTCCACTATCAAGCCCAGCTAATCGACTGTTCCCCTAGAAGCAGTCTCCACCCGTACCTGACCCTTCGTCACGATATTCCTTAACAGCTTGGGTCTCAATATAGCAGCAGTTTTTCTCGTCTTCCTCATGCTTCGCAAAGTATATGATGTTCGTTGGTAGGGACATTGCACTGGTCATTGCTATTGGCCTGTCCCTCGAGAGTCCCCCGCAAGAACTCTTTACTACGTCAGTAGTTCTTCGATGGACGCTGCCATTGCACTAGCACGTTTTGTGTATCTTTATATCAAGATACACAACCCTAGAACTCAAAGCCGGGTAAGTTTCTGAGGGATACGTGCGTAGACTAAAGGCACATAGGGAAGGTAAGCCTAAGAGCGATTACGGTAGGGTAGGATGGCCAAGGATGTGTGCTAATGTAGGTAAAAGGAAAGTTTACCTAGTTGGTTTACGTGTATGGATATTGCTATATGATTAGATTCTAGATACATTGATCTAACTCAAGTCAAAATAATATATAAACGAACCTTTTTGCAGCAAGAATGTATAAGGCCATTGCAAGTATGATGGACATGCGTGACTGGCCTGACTAGGCTCAATATAATACCGCAACTCGCAAGGATCCAATCTAATGGCCAAATGCCCTTTATAGCGCTTGCTTGGTAAGCACTAAGAAGCGTGCGGCGTGATTGTTGGACAAATTCAGTTGATAATCCACCAAAACATTGTTGACCGCGACTAGGTGTAAGAGGTAGCCATACAGATTTACAGACACTGGCAAATGCGCGCTTGCTTGCATGCCTCATTTTACTCACGACGGACGGTAAATATACTCCGTGAACATACGCCACTCCGTGGATAAGCTTCTAA